GGCGACTCCATAAGAACCCTTTCAAACTTGTTCTTAGGTCAGCCCGGTTATCGGACGATCTAAGAACGCCCTTTCAAAAATCTCGCTCTTAGGTTCAGCCCGGTTATCGGACGACCTAAAGGTGTTGTAAACTCACTCATAAAAGCACGAAAAATGGAAAGTCGGAACCATCGCGTCACTCCGACCGCCTCTTTTTTAAGGTGGCAACACTTAGGAAATTTTCTAGGAGGAATTTGTCATTATTATCAAGGGGTGATTTGATTCTCGTGTTCTGGCTAGGCTATCCCATTTTAAATTATGTAGTTTCTTCGCCTGGCTCAACTTTGTATTCGTTGTTCATCCACAAATCAAGGTCAGTTAGGGTAGTTGGGTTGTCCTCCACTTCCTTTGGGTGTATCATGGTATTGGTAGTTAGTTTTAAACTTGTCGTGTAGCTTTCTCGAATGCCCTTTGGTCCACATGTAAAGTAACTATCTTGCCAAACAATATCGAGAACTTCATGGCCAAGTGGGAGTTGATACTATTGCCCCTAAAGCATTGTGGGATTATTTTTGAGGATTATGTTATGAGAAACGTTAGCGCCTATAATCAAGTACCTAACCTTGACCATTTTATAGTTTGTATTACCCTCTCTGAAATTGGTGAAAAGATGAAAATACCCTTTTATGTTTACTCTTTCGCCTGAGAACCCCATTATTTGATTGTCATATGGTTGGATGTTATCTTCAGTTGGCTCAAGTTACAATTGATGGCATGCCCCGTAGTTACGATGATATCAATAATGCTTGTTATGGTTAGCATTGGGTGGGGTTAGTTACAAAAGGTATCGCTCAGCCCCATATATCTGACTACTTTTCACTTATCCGACTTCTTTAGGGGTAATTAATCGATGTGTGCTTGTTGAACTCTTATTAGGGTGTGGTCGGTGTGTTGTGTCTGCAAAAGACACTCTGACGCTCAAGTCAATAAATGTAACAGTAATGAGTGCATAGTAAAATAGGGATTTGAATTATACCTTACCATCTTCATCTATCTATAATACCATGTATGGGTTATCTTCATGGGCTTTGGGCTCTTGGTCACTCTGCTTTAGCCATACATACATTGTGTTGCCTTTGTTCGTATGGCTACAATATGTGTTATGTGGTCCACCTCTACTCAATACTATTGGGACAAGTTGTACTTATAGCATTGCGTTGTGTTTTTGTACTGCAACGCGAGCCATATATCCACAATACTATGGTTGTACAACCACTAGACAACTACAATACAATTCTAAAGGTAATCTCTATTCTTCTTGGATTATCGATATTGGAGCAACTAATCATGTGCTTATGATAAAATCTTTTTCACACCTTTTTTTCAAAATAAAACCTATGTGTTAGACTTCCAAATGGAACTTATTGTTTTGCTAAAAATGTTGGTACAATTTGTTTTTCTAAACGTTTTATTCTTTATAATGTATTACACATTCCTGAGTTTGAATTTAATCTAATATTTATCCAGTGTTTGATTAAAAATTTTGATTGCAAACTTATTTTTTCACAACAAAATTTGCCAGATACATGATGTTCTTACCTTGAAGATGATTGGGCATGTTGATGGAAAGAAGCCTATTGGGTGGAAAAGAGTTTATAAAATTAAATATAAAACTGATGGAACTATAGAAAGATATAAAATTAGACTTATAGCAAAGAGGTTCACTCAATTGGAAGGAGATGATGATCTAAATACTTTTTCACCTATTGTTAAAATCACAAATTGTTAGACTAATGCTTACCCTTACAGCTATTCATCATTAACATCTTGAACAATTGAATGTCAATAATGTATTTTTACACAGATATCTTAATGAAGAAGTTTACATAAAATTACCTCTAGGTGTGATTGCTCCACAACCCAATCAAGTTTGCATATTAAATAAATCTATATATGACTTAAAGCAAACTAATAGATAATGTCATGTTGTTTCTCGTTCTAGCTTCTATGAATGAATTAAACGCATTAGCATATAATGTCATGTTGCTCATGAGAAACTTCAAACAAATCTTTTTCATCTTCTCCTTCAAATCTAAAAACAATTTGTAGATATTGCCATCAAATCTTTACATCATTCTCCTTTCTTACTATAACGTTTCCAAGCTTGGAGTGCTTGATATTCACACTCCAACTTAGGAGTGGATATTATAGTTTTTATTTTGTTACATTAGTTTCTCTTCTTTACTTATATAAATATTTTCTACTTTTAGGCAGATAATACGTACATATTCATTTACATTTCCTTTCTCGTTTACTTTTCTCTTTTGCTTTACTTCTATGTAAAGGGTATTAACTAGTGTGCATGATATAATAATGATGTATAGGGATAATTTTTTTTCAACAGTTTTTTAAGTAGTGAGTATAACATGATATTTATAACAATAATGATAACAATAATATCTAGAATGATAAATAGTGATAATATAACATCTAAAATGATAAAAATGTAACAATGATAAGTAAAGTATTTCGGATGTATAATTTATAAATTAAGATTAATATTAATTTTTATTATTTAAATAAACATATGAATAACTTTTATCCATTATCATTTTAAACTTATCTCTTCATTAAAAAATATTTTAATTTATTACTTTTCTCTATACAATAAATATAATTAAAACTATAAGAATATAATAATTGATAAAAAAAATAATTAATATAATCTTTTATAAATGATAGATATTTATAAACAATTTTTCCTTAAAAGAACATAAAATTATTAAAAATAAAAGAAATATATTTTACAATATAAGTCTAATGGAACCTAGGATGAATTGAAATAAACCTTTAAATTTGGACCAACTTTCAGTTAATAAGTTTTGAACGTGGAACCACTCTTTTGATTTTTACATTTGAATTAAAAATTCCAAAGGAAGTTAAATGCACTTATGACTCACCCAATCAACTTAAATTTGATTACATACATTTTTTTTTTAATTCTAATTGAATAAGTTTATTTTTTAAGTACACGCAAACTTATTTAATGATTTATACCACCCAAAAAGAAGAATGATTTTTCAACATTTCATCAAAAGTTAATATGAAGAAGGATAGATCCATTAAAGTGCGCTACTATTTCTTGTGGGTAGACTACTTTAATAAATATGAAAAAAAAGTGGTCCAATCAATTGCAATTAATTTCTCCAACACAAGTCAACATGTGGTTTTGAGAAACCACATAAGATGAACCCTTGTCTTTTACTACTAACCAAATCTAGTCACGAGCGAGAGCAATGGGGAGGTTCGGAATTTTTATTCATAACCAAATATTTAGAACAGGAAAGAAATTCAATTATCACAGAAAATTTCAAGATTTGCACAAGGGTAAGCATTAGACTCGGTAACATGAGAATAGAAAATGGTGGTTTGAGTCTGAAATGAAAAGTGTTGGAGGTGAGAAGTGATTTATATGTGTGGAAGATGAAATTTGTCACAAGCTGATAAACGTTGAGGTCCCCACGATGAAAACTAGAATTACAGTGTGAATGTTGTGTAATCCCATAGTGTGCTGAGAAGTTTGAGCCAGTCTACATCAATAGGTTGGCTAAAAACCCATGTCAGAACACTGATTCATATTGGTTGAGGAGCCAAACTGTGAATATTGTCTCAAGTTACCTTAACGTCGTAATCGGTTCAGTTTAATGATGGTGAGGTGCAGCGGGAGTTTGTATTGTGCTATGTTGTGGCAAGACCTTCTGCTACCTAACTCGTTAAACTTTCCCCAGCAATAAACAAAAAAGTTTTGAAAATTATAGCCACAAGGAAGACTGTGACATATAAGGTAGCAGATATTACAGGCTTTTAATGCCGTGCCATGAGCGACCAAAGGATGGTTGTGTGATGCTAACAGTGGAAGTGATTGGTACTACTCTGCAATCACCAAACTCAACTACCATATCAGCCCAAGATGATTCAACGCTGTAAATATATTTGTGATGCAGAGAAAGAATATAAGGGGTGAAAGTCATTTTTAATAGGTAAAGAGAGAGAAAAAACTAATTTTAAAAATTAAAAATAAAAAAATTGTCACTCGAAATTTCTTTCATTTGTTAAAACGTTATAAACATTTTGAAATAAAGTTGTTCAAAACTGAATAAAAAATAACCATAAATTCATTAAAAAATATATAACATTAATTAAAAGTAAAATTTAATTAAATTTTTAATCGCTTTTTTTAAAATGTTTGGAATTATTAACTAATAATCAAAAATCAAATTTATCTAAATCTTTTATTATACTTTAAAATTTATTATAAATTAATAAAGATTTATAGTTATATCTCTTAAAATCTACGTTTAAAGTTTGACTATGTTTTATTTGAAGTTTATTAAAAATATGATACTAATTTTTAGATTGTAATATTCAATTATAAGATTTTATAATTTATTTAAATATTTAAAGAAAATTAAATTATAAATATAATCATAATCATAATCATATAAATTATTTTATTATAAGATATTTAATAATTTTAAAAAAATAGTTAATGACCAATAAAATCAATCTGAATACAACCACCAATATTGATTGAATTGAACCATACCAAACTAGATTTAATTTTAATATTTGATTTGTATGATTAATTAAAAAATACAATAAAATTTTGTAAATTTTCAAAAATTACTTCATAAAAAAGTAAAGAAAAAGAGAAGGAGAAGAAAAGAGAAAAAGAAGGAGAAGGATGAAAATAAATTTAGATGAGAAAAAGAAAGGAAAAGAAATAGAGAGAAGAGGAGAGAATTAGAGGAGAGGAAAGTGAAGGAAAGGGAGAGGGATAGTTTTAGTCAAATTATTAATTTTTTTTTTTAACTCTTAAAATATTTTGCATTTCATGTCAATATTACATTATATGTTATATTACAAATGCATAGCATCTAATGCCAAAATTTTACTCCCTCCCAATCATAAACCTGAAACGTCATCGCTTTATAGTTTGGCCTTCCCCCGCACTTTCGGCCATGGCGTGCATCACCATGGGAAGCGATACTGAGTACTTACTTAGTATGGTGTATCGATGGTCCCGGACCCATCCACGCACTACAAACTTTCAGGTTCAAAATAGTGGCACTCAGCTCAAGAGAAGAAAACGACAACGCAAATTATATATTTTTACAATATGGATGATCAAGGTTCTTCACTTCTGCTAAAATTTTATATGGAAGCATCATATAAATGCTAAATGTACCAAATATTCAGCTGCAAAAGAAAATAGGTTCCGGAACATGATGACCCAACAACCTCGCATATTTTTAAGAGTAAAATTAAGCTGGTCTCTAAAAAAATAGTTATTTTCAGAGTAAAATATCGTCACAAATAAGAACAAAAATAGTAATTAATGTGATGTAAACTAAAAAAACAAAAAAAAAATAGTTATTTTAACAGCATGTTTTATCCGGGTAATCCATCGTTTACGCCATTGAACCTCTGTTCACTTGAAGGAAAAAAAAATCTTTATAAAATCAAAGGAGGAAAATTGGAAAAAGAGGGTAACGAGTAAATATACCAGGTAGTAGTAGTAAATCATTAAATGCCAGTATTAACTACCCAGCTGGCATAACTAGGTAAAAACACTAGTTACACTCTACAGCGTTAAAATCTGAAAAAAAAAAATGAAAAGAAAGAGAGCTAAACAAAATTAAGGAAAAAAAAACTAGCGGCCGTTAGCGAGAGGGTTGACGGTGGATTCCTTGCACGGACTAGACGGCGGGCTTGATTTTCCGGTTGCAACAAGGCGTTGCACGAAGTTATCAATTCTGTTTCCGTTAGTCTCCGTCAGTAACCGCTTCCCGCCAAATGGTAACGACTCGAGTCCTCTCTCTTTCAGCACCTCCTCCTTCCTCACTGTTTCGCTTCCCAAACCGAAGGCCTGTCACACAACGCACGCCGTCAATTCCATGAAACCAAAAACTCTGGAATAATCTGAATTCTGAACAGAACGCTGAGATCAGAGTTTTGAAAGTAAAAGCAGAAGCATTAACTTCGCGTACCTGGATTCTGACGTAGTCCGTACGGTTCCAGCAGAAGGCGTTCCCCAACATCTGGTCAATGGTCTCGGAAACACCGTCAAGGACAATGTCAACCACCGAGGGTGTGGAGCACGAGCGATTCTCGCGTACCTTGGTGTTCGACGATCCGTTCCCCAAGGAAAGGACCAGGAGATCCTCCACTCCGTTTACCGACGGGAAATCGTGTTTGTTGTGGAGAACGTGCGTGACCGCCGCCGCCGTAGGGTTGTTCATCACCAGGCCGCCGTCCACGGCGGAGCATGAGGTCTTGCCGTCGATGGAAGCGAAGTCGAATGGCTTGAAATGGCTCGGCGTTGCTGACGTGGCGCGACACACCTTCCAGAGCTCGAAGTCGAAGCTCGGAGACTCGGACGCGTCGGCGCGCGAAAAGACGAACGGCGCGGAACTCTTGAGGTCAAAGCATGGGATAAGGAGCGGTTTACACGTGTCCTTCAAGGTCAACAACCGGCCATCCTCCTTCCTCTGGAATACTTGCTTCAACACGTTGTCCATGCTCGTGGAGGAGAATCTCCGGCCCCGGCGGAATACGCCGGCGGATTTAAGCTTGTAGAGTTCGGAGTTCCTCTCGGAGAGGAGACCGACGGCTTCTCTGGCCGTATAGAGCGGCCTGCCAGATGCTTCGCCGGCGGTGATCATGGCGGCGAGGATGGCGCCAATGCCGGTGCCGGCGATGATGTCGAAGAAATCGGCAACCTGAGCGTGGGGATCGGAGGTGCGAAGACGGATCTGATCCTCGAGGTAGATGAGAGCTTCGCCGGCGACAATGGCGGAGGTTCCTCCGCCGTCAATGCTGAGAATGCGGGTTTTGTTGTTGGCTTTACAATGTGAGAGCCATTTGCGTTCGAGCTTGGAGAAGATCTCTAGGGTGACTTTACTGAGCTCCATTGCTCCCTTCCTCTCCAAATGTGGGTCAGTATCTTGTAATTCCTGGCTTTAATTTTGAGAAAGAAAGCGATTTTGATAATGTGGGTGTTGCAGGTGTGTAATGCAAGAGAGAGAATAAAAGAATGGAAGGTAAGAAAGCAAAGAGCGTATCACGCTTTGGTGGTGAGAGGAATAAATTGCTTAATTAACTGAAGGAGGCGCGTTCTGTACTGTATCCTCTACTTCTTTCTCTTTTCTCTCTGTTTGATTCTCTCCTCTGAGTAGAGTTGGTGAGAGTTAAAACAAGAGGACTGAAAGCTGCGTTTGGGAATGGGGGTAGTTATATACGCGACCCTGTTGTCCTTGTCGCTTATTTTATTACAGTGCCCTACTTTTCTCTATTTATTTATTTGTTTCTTATTATTTTACAATCACAGTGATTCCCTTTTACTTTTTCTTGCATCCTCCCGTGAGAGTCGTAGGTGGTAAGAGTGTAGTGTATGCATGCACGTGCGGCCGCGCGTGCTCTTATGGGGTTGCGGGTAGCGCGAACCTCGGCTTGGCTTGCGCTTCCTCTGCAAGTCAGCGCAGCATCACCATCTCCAGCAGCCGCACTCGCATTTCCCCCTCGTTTATCTTACTCTTCTTCTTCCTTACTAATTCATATTATTTTATTTCTCGACTTTATCTGCATCTGTGCTTCCATGTTTGACTAGAGGAAGATATCTGGAAATCTCTTCGCTCAGATTTGAGGAAGGAGTATAATGTGTTCTTCTCATTGGAAGCTTCTCAGCAAACCTCAAAAAAACAGGAAATTAATGTGAAGATAATTAATCTTATTGATTACTCCTAGTATACAAAGGTAACGATGCTCTTCTTGATTACTGCTAGAATTGTGACATTTATTGAAGTAAAATTTTAATTTTAACTAAAACGTAATAATTCTTAAGTTTTATCTTTTGAAAGTTAAATATGGGGATGACAGATTGTAAATATACCACCATTAATATTTCTCAAACTTTAACTTGCTCTCTATCTTACTATACTCTGTGTGACTGATATGATATGATTCAACTCATATATATTGGTTTGAATTTAATTGTAATTATCTTTATTATAGTAGTTTACTTAATAAGGTTATTTAACCTCTTTTCACTCGAATATAGTTACATAATTCTGACAAAAAATAAAGATATTTTTCCTTACTAAAGAAAAAAGGAAACGACATGCGTCTGGCCCATGACCTTTACTTGTGGATTTATCTTTGTTTTGTTTTGTGGACCAAATCTTGCTTCTATCCTTTGTCCGAGTGAGTTAGTTAATTTAAAGTTAAGATCTAAAGTTTTTCTACATCAATTATTTAGGGGCCACTAACAACAAAAGCTACCCAGACCCATATTTAAAATTGTGGATAGTTATCCCAGGCAGATAGTCCACACATTCATAACTACTCCTCTTATTATATACAACGTTTACCTAGTCAATATTTAGATTCAACTCAACCTAAATTTTTCTTCTGGTTTATCTCAACTTTGTTTATATAAAAATAGTATTGATTTTGAGAAGCATTATATTTAGATAAAGTTCTTCATAAAAATTTTATTGAAAAAAGAAAAATTCATAAATTAAAATTAATTTATGTAAAGGTTAAAAAATAAAATGCTTGGAAAACTATATAAAAAAACTCTCCAAAGGAGCTTGTACATAAATTATTTTTTCTTAAAAAAAATCTTATAAAAGTCCTTATATATTATTTTATTAACATAGAAATATTTTTTACTATTAGTAAATGTTTTACAAGTAATATGTTGTGATGATTATATACATTAATTTTAATTTTAAGGGTAAAATATGTTTTTATATAATAATTGTGATAAATATTTGTGTTTAATCTAATTAAAATATGTTATTTGACTATTATTTTAAGTTTATAATTACCATATTTTTAAAAAATAATATAGTTTTGTGTCACGTTAAGTAATGTGTATCATGATTTTAATTATAAAAAAATAAAATTATGAAAGATCGTGACTAATTGTAAAAGTGTATTATTAGAGTTATTAAGTTTACGGAAGTTTTTTATATATGCATATTATATATGTGTTGTAGTTAAAAAATGAAAGGGGGAGGTATCTTAGACCTAATTTTATCTAGATTTGATGGGTCTTTTAGGCGAGTATTTTTTTTATGCGCATTTATTTGAGAACTAAGGGGATTATTGTTTTACTAAAGTTTTGTAACTGTATGATTTTGATCCTTAAATTTAATAATTATTTATATTCTTATAATTTTGTTCTTTTATTTTTTCATTTTTTTTTATTCTTTTATATTTAATTATTTTTTATTAATAATATATTATTTATTCTAAAAATTAATAATCAAGATCCGTCACTCATTCTCGTATCAACGGTAAGTTTCAGAAATAGTTAGGATGAGATATTAGGGGTCAAACTTAAAAACAAGATAGTTATGCTTGATTTAATATCCAATGACCGGGAATGGACTGTTATGACCACTTTAATATTGTTAAATTACACTTAAATTCATACAGTTAAATGACATTTAAATTCATAGTTAAATTCATATATTTCAGGTAATAATCCATATAACATAAAACTAACAAGTTTTTCGACAATTTTGATTAATAAATTAATAAAATAATTAATAATATGTGAAAATTATATTGAAGAGAAATACTTGTTATACTTATTATTATTATATGAGAAACATATTTCATGATGATTTTAATTAGATATCCATATCTTATCTATATATAATTGGATATTCCCTTCACATAATTGGTTTTAATGTAGAGAAAAAAAAATTATTGTATAATTAGTGGAGAAATAATGTGAGTATAACGTGGATTCCTTTTTTCATCTGAAAGAAAAAGAAATGTATAATACAATATCTTACTCTTTTAATTCGATAAAAGAAATAGGATTTTTATGTAATTGAAAACAAAGTGCAATTAAAAAAGTTAAAAAATCTTATTAATGGAAACAAGTATTTATGAGTCATAATCTCCTTGATTCTCTCTTGGCAATGGTAACATATATTTATCTTTTCATTAAATTATCCTCTTATCATGTCATTAACATCAAATCTATCTAATTTTGTTTAACCAAATTTTAGGGAATTTATTCCTAATTCTGAAGATAAATCTCATATGTGAGGACAATATAAAACTACAAATGCTGAAAATATATCATGTTCCCATGCTTACAAATAATATGGGTATCTTAATTGAAACAATTCAAAAACCATGTTTTCATTTGGATTACAAAACAATTTCTTAACGATTATAGAAAATTCTTACCTTTAATTTGTTTAGATGGAGAATTTTGATAGGAAAAATTCATTTAAATAGAGTATTTTAAATGCTTATAGTTATTTAGATAGAGAATATGAAAAGTAGTTGAAAAATTCTAAAAATTTATTAAAGTATTTTGATTCCTTAAAATTAAATAATTTTAAATTCAATATAAAGAGTAAGAATTTGAAATTTTCTTTTTTTTTCATTTATAAATTTGTCTCTTTTCTTTATATTTTCTCTTTCACTTAATTTCGATTAAAATATTTTTTATTCATTTTGATACAGAGTTGACCCAACTAGATCCAAATCAACATGACCTAGTCCTAGTTTGTACTAACCCGACACATTTTGACCATCATCAAATTATCATGACTTAATCACTCTTGATTTGGTCTATCTTTTATTGGTCTTACTTAAGTTATTATGACCAAATTTAATCTTTTTCAACCTGACTTGTTCTAACCTAATTCAATCATTCCTCATCAGATTCAACCCAACTAGTCAAAGTAAGCTTAGCCCACTCCAACCCAATCTGTACCAACTTTACTCATCTTGGTCTAATATGATTCATCTTAATTTGACCCCTCCTAACTCGACACATCTTGTCTTAACTTGACTCAACCGATCTAATCTTGGTTTACCTGACCTGATCCATCTAGAGGCAACTCAACTTAACATGAACTGATTTGTCATAATTCAGTCTAACTTATCCTAACACAGTTCAATACAACTCAACTCATCCCAACTTGTGAGTCTAACCCAACTTGATCCAACCTTCCTAACTTAATACAATTTGTTTTGATTGGGTCCAACCTTATCAATTTTGTTTGTTTGATATCACTTGGCTTGATCTAGTTTGTCATATAATCTATCTCGCTTCAATCTTACCCATGTGAATAAGGATCAAGTACGATTAGGGATGGTAAAATGGACTAGGCCGGTGGACCGATTTGCCTAAAAAGTGGTGGGGTCACTACTACAGAATGATCATTCAACGTCGGGTGTGAGAGGCATTCAATGTCGATTCCAATGACGTCGTTGATTCAGGCGTCGTTGAATGTCAAAGGATTCTACGTCGGTTCAGAATACCCGACGTTGAAAGTGATATATATCTACGTCGGTTAACCAAATGTCCGTCGTAGAAATTAGTAAATTCTACGTCGGTTATTGAACTAACCGATGTTGAAAGTCCTTTCTCGCTCAAGCGACCGGTGTACTCGCTTGAGCGACGAAGCCTTCAAACAAAGGGGACTCTCGGGTTCTGTATCGCTCAAGCGACCGACGTTACAACGTCGGTTAATGCAATAACCGACGTAGAATATCCCTTTTTTTTTTTAAATGTTGGTCTGTTTTAGTGCCACCAACAGTACACGACCTGCTATAATCTCGAGTCCAGACAGTATATTTATTTCGACTAATCACTAATATATAAAATGATAGATATATATGTCAAAATCAGCCAAATTATGTACAAAATACACAAAAAATTATCAATCAATCATATTCCTAACTACTTGTACAAACTTTTACTGCCCATTTGTTTCTAACCATGTCTATAGTATCCATAGGCAAAGGTTCTATATCTTTAAATGCCGAGTAAGAAGTTCACAATAATAGAATGGTAAACCACTAAGCAATAAAAATAAAGGAATTGAATATAATAGCAAATGTCGACTTACCTCATTCCAACTATCCTGAATGCTACCAAAAATGATGAGCCACATCCAATACATTACATAGTAGCCGCACTTCGTATCCTCCATTTTGTTTGTTACACTAAAAATGACTAAATATGTTAAAATAACTATTAAATTTGAACATAAATTAATAGATAGTATAATATATATAAAGACTAATTTGATAAAATTCCAATTTGGAGTCTGTGCTTTTACTTGTGTGTTTTCCACCTAATGTACTACAAACCTTTAGAGCACTATATATTGAAAAGAAGGGGTTAGAAATAGAATAATCAAGATGTTTAGACATAATATAAGAAATACTTACTCGTTTACAATATTTTTTAGCTCCATGTCGGGTTTCCTTCCCAATGAGCGGAACCAACACACAAGATTCTGCTTTGGACAAATAACTAATAGGCTGTCAGTGGTTTACGTATATACACATGATTAGAATCTATTAAAAAAACTTGTGTAAAACCAGGAAGAGGCTGGGATAACTTACGAATGATGGTATGCTCCAAGGTAAATATCTCTTTTAGAATTAGTGATCCAATTCCGCATGTAACCGAGAATTTGATCACGCTTATTCCAGGACTTTTGTATGGATTGAGGCTCGAAGAATCCATACACATGACCAATGCCCTGCTCCACTATCATTTCGTGCATCATCCTAAAATATGCCAATTTAAGTGAACTTATAGCTTATATATTTACTAAAATGAAAAGAGTCATGAAAGATATGAACTTACAATGTCTAAAATTGTAAAACGACTATATTTAGACATTGATTACCCATCCCAATCTCCAGGGCATCAGTGTGGGAAATGTATAGGGGATATTGCTAGAAGTCATCCCAAA